GGATGAATAAATAAAATTAAATAAATAATTCTTTAAAAAAAAAAAAAGAGAAACAAACAGGGACCAACAGATGGCATAATGGTTACATCACTAAACACCCATGTAGTTGACTGCAGTTCAAGTCTCAGACCTGGCAGCTTAAAACTCACGCCAGGTGTGTGTGCGTGCATGCCCAAAGTCCCAAGAGGAGAATGGAGGCATGGCCATCCCCTCTGGAGGGTGATTTCTCACTTTCTGTCTCTCTGTCTCTGTCTCTCCAGTAAGTACACATGCCCTATAGCAAAAAAACTCTCTAAAATAAAAACACAGAAGAAAACAATAAAGTGGCATACTTATACTCTAATATATAAATAATTATATTAAATGTAAATGGACTAAACATACCACAAAAATATGGCGTTTTCAAAATTGATTAAAACAACATGAACTGGGGCCAGCAGGTAGAATGGTGGTTGAGGTGCTAGACTTCCACCTGACCAATTGCAGTTCAAGTCCTGGATCTGCTAGCTTGCTTTCTCACTTTCCCTCTATACCTGTCTCTTTCTGGTCAAATTTAAAAAATAATAATAGTAAAAAAAAAATTCTTCTTAAAAATACTTTAAAAAATGAACCATATGCTGTTTGTAAGAAACTCATTTTAAATAAGGTAAGTTGAAAGTAGAAAGATGGAAAAATGTAAATATTAGTCAAAAGAAAGTAGGAATGGCCATATTAAGATCAGAAAAACATAGATTTCAGAGCAAAGAAAATGACCAGAGATAAAGAAATGCATTAAACAATGACAAATGGGTCAATCTACCAAGAAGATGTATTAGCAATTTTAAATGTATAGGCACCAAACAATAAGTTGCAAAGAGCAAAAATTGATATAATTAAAAAAGAAATACACAAATCCACAATTATACTTGAATATTTCAACAAATCCTGGATCAATAATTAATAGGACTATTAGACAGCAAGTCAGCAAACGTAGAGAAGTTAACACCACCTCAATCAAGGACCTAAAAGCAGCTTAGCAACTTAAATATCATACACAGCATGTGGTCATGTTTAATGATCCTATAACAACATACATACCTCCCAGGGCCAGCTGGTGGTGTAATGGTTAAAGATCTGGATCCCACATGGCCAACTGCAACAGTTCAAGTCCTGGATCTAGTGGCTTCAGAAACATGCTGAGTGTGTGCCCAAAATCCTGAAAGGAGAATATAGGAGATGGGACTGCAGCATAGCCATCCCCACTAGGGAGTGATTTCCCACTTTCTCTTTCTCCTCTCATCCTCTCTCTCTCTGACAAGCACATGCACCCTATAACAAATTAAAAACAAAAACAGCAACAAAAAAAGACTCTATTTTTCACTATTTCTTTTTTTAATAACAAATGTAGAACATATTTACTTGAGAAAATACTGATGTTTATTATAAAAAAACTAAAATGCCCTATCAACCTACCATCCCTCCCCAGAGTAACCACCTCCCCAGATCTATATTCCTTAAATTCTTTTCTTTTCTTTTTTGGAGAGGTTTTTGCTATAGGGTGTGTGCATTCGCCAGAAAGACAAAGAGAGATAGACAGAAAGCAAGAAATCAGTCCCCGGGGGAATGGGGTGGGGTGGGGAGGGGGGATGGCCAAACCTCAATCCCTTCTCATCCATTCTCCTCTTAGGATCTTGGGCACTCACGCACACCTGCCCAGCGTGAGTTTAAGCCACCAGGTCCGGGACTCGAACCGTGGTTGACTACATAGCCATTACACCAATTGCTGGTCCTCTTAAATTCTTTTCTATATATAGGTAAATATACATATATGCATGATTTTCTTTAACTTTATAAAAATGGGATCATATTCTGCATACTGTCTGTAACTTGCTTTTTTTCAATTCAGTGACCTTTTCTAGTTGGTGATATAGAGAACTATCATATGAAGTGTTCTCATATCATAAAAGTGTTCTCAGAAAATAGGTTCTTTTTTTGGAGAGGTTTTCACTATAGGGTGTGTGCGCTCGCCAGAAAGAGAGAGAGAATCAGAGAGACAGAAAGCGAGAAATCACTCCCCAGGGGAGATGGCCACGCTGCAATCCCTTCTCCTCCATTCTCCTCTTGAGATCTTGGGCATGCATGCACACGCACCAGCGTGAGTTTAAGCCACCGGGTCCGGGACTCAAATCGCAGTCAACTGCATGGGAGTCCAGCGACACAGCCATTACACTATCTGCTGGTCCCAGAAAATAGCGTGTTCTTTGATAATATAAGTTCCTTGGGGTTTCAAAGTCCTATATTCCATACCTAGAAATGTAATGGCCATCAGATTAATGTTAAATAACAGCAGAAAGAACCAAACTATCCTAGAGCAAAAAGACAGTAAGACATAGTTCAAAATGCTCTATAAACAATAAAGGGAGTAAAAACACAAGTTATCACAGCTGAATTTTCTATTTTTTCAGTTGTTTTAAAGTGAATACTACAATTTAGTTGGCATCGTTAGATATATTAAAATACTGGCATTCTACCAATATCACTCATATACAAAAACACGGTTGGGGGAAAATTACGGACTTTTTTGGTTACATTTCTATTAATTGCAAGAGGACGTATATATGCTTGCCAGAGAGAGAGAAAGCACCCTCCCAATTAGATGTGGTCATATCATAATCCTTTTTCCTCCTTTTCCCAATTCTGTCAGGCCTTTGAGACACTTGCACATGAGCTTCGCATGTTTTTCAAGCCTCCAGTGCCAGATTTTGAACCGTAGTCAGCAGCCCCCATATGGGATCTGGCTTTCTATGCACAGCACTTAGCCACCACACCACAGGCCGGCCTGAGAATTATGCTAATACAAGTACTGTTTCCAAGAGTGAAATACTCACAGCTGTTTCTCCTTTTGGGAAATTTGTTTCTGCAGACTGTCAGATTTACTCAGACATTCCTGTAGATATTTCTCATCCTCATCTTCAGCTTCCATTTGCGCCTTCTCTGCTTGCTGCAATCTGGTGTAATTCAAATCAACTTTGGGTAAAACTGAGGCTAGAACTAGGGTGTAAAAGGGTGAAGAAGACAAATAAAAGAAAAATGGGGAAATAGAAACATTTCTAAATGAAAACAAAGTTTGGGGAAAACTCACAAACTCAAACGTGAAAGAGCCACACAATGTCTAGAAATTGTTTTGTGATGTTTTTTTTTTCCATAGAATATATATAGTATGCCCAGAATACTATCTTCAAATTTGTTTTATTTCTTGTTTATAGTTAACAAAGCAAAGCAATACAGCCTTTACCACTGATTTAGATAGAGCATAATGAATCAAATTTCAAAATATAATAGGTACATCACTGCCTTTTTACAAAACTGTGAAAAGCACAGTATTCATGTCTAGGCATCATATTATTATGTTATGCTAGGATGTGTATGCCAGGAATCAAGTGTGCTACAAGGCCGAGAGCAAAGACCTGCGATTGTTCCCAAAGACAGCGGAGTCCTTCCCACAGGATCTTTATGAATGTACTAAATTATCCCAGAGCTGTGTGTATGTGCATGTATGTTTGTTTGTTTCTTTAGGATCTAAAAAGAATTTAGAGCTAATTGGCATCATTCTCTAGAGGGCATTTTTTTGTTGCTCACCACTTAATACTAAAAATTAGCTAAAAACCTGATTTTCATTTTTCTTCATTTGTTTGTAGGCCATTGGTTCTCCTGTGCTTAGCTCCACTCCTTGCCTCCTTTGGCCATTTAGGATTTCTTAGATTTAATTTTAACATTTTTATAAGACAACATCTCCCAGGATTAAAGGGATGTTAATTTGTTATAGGAAACCACAGGAGAAATTTCTGTTCAACTAACTGAAAAAGACTGCCTGTTTCTTTCTCCCTTCCAACCATACCAATGGATATCTCTCACAGATTTCAGGAGTGTAAGTGATGCTTCCAAGAAAAGGAGATAACATTCATGTTACCTCTAAATTTTAATTTAAATTTAAATTAAAACAGTAAGTGGGCAAGGACAGACCCAAGCTTTTTTTTACATTTATAGGAAGTAAAATAAAAGCCAGAGTGAGGTAGGACTTGAAATTGTGCTATCACAGAAGAGGGCCAGAAGGAACCGGGAAATTAAGGTGCTAAAGCACAGGATAATGGCCAATCTGCTTTATAAACTATTTAAAAACATATTTTAAAATCAGTAAGGAAGCCATTAGGCAAAGATGGGCCTATGGGGGAAAAATATCTGTGCCAACACATTATGAAACCAAAGGTTAACTTATTAATAAACAATTTTTAAAATATTTTCCATCAAAAAGTAGCTAAAAAGATAAAACTGCATTTGAAAATCCTGACCTCCAAAGGGTCAATACTCAAATCAGCCCATGTGCACAAGGTCTGAGGAATGTAATTTTGGAAATCCAAGTGCACCCACTCTGCAGTATGGTAATGTATCACCACAGCAGCTGACTAGACGTGGACAGGGTTCCTAGCACCCTTCTAGAATACTTAATAGCATAAATGCTTTTCGGTTGAATATACTATAAAATGGGATTCTGTTTTCATCTGCTTAAATACAAGTGGTTTTCAGAAAGATATATCTTTGACCAGCTTGTACTGGTCCTGAGTGTCAATGCTGGCACATTTCACCAATGACATTGCAATTGTCCTAGTTTGAGTTAACAAATCGTTGTCACTTGATAATGGAATGGACAGAAATCAAAGACAGAAAAGGTAATAAAAATGTCCAAAATGTAAAAATGGGGATAAAGAAAACAAAAAAAGAAAAAAGAAGAAAGAGGATGTCAATAAAAGAATATTCATGTCAATAAAGCATTAATAGTTATGTTTTTCATAAATAGATTTAAAGAAAGCAATGGTAAGACATATGTTGACACCAACATGACAGGGCAATGGAAATACATTACATTTTCCAACAATAAAAGTGAAAAATGCGAATATAAGACAATTTAATTTAAACAAAATTCTATCTTGGGTTGGGTTGAGGGTCTTAGCTCAAGGAAACAAAACTAAACTGCCAATTCAGAATGCTTGTTTTCAGATAAAATGATGGTGAATGGCAAAGAATATGACAATTAAAAGCATGGAAATCAATCAGGGATAATCCCACCATGCATTTAGTTCATTTTTAACTTTTCAAGATTTTTATTTGTGTATCTGTTTTATTTAATAGATTGAACCACACCAAACTGCCAACATTAGGCCTTTTCTAAAAATCTACAAAATGGCAACTTCAAATTAATCAGCCTAATACAAAGCAACTTGATTCCATGCAACAACCAAAACAAAAAGGCAAACTCCTACTGGGCTTAAACAAAAAGATGTCCTAATCTAAACCTTCCTAAAGCTTCTTGTGGCAGGTGTCAGAGCTGAGCAAAGAAAAAGGGAGGAAGAAGGGGAAAAAAGAAACTAAAAGTGAAAATGCTGTACCTTTGTTCCAGCTGCCTCATGGCTGTAGTAATTTTATTGTTTTTTTCTTCTAGTCGGGCAATTATTTCATTTTTTTCTTTCAAGCCATCTTCAGAACCCTAGTAGAAAAACAAAAGCTATAGTGGCCTTGGTTTTTAAACCTGAATATTTATAAATTTCTTTTTTTGTTTGTTTTGGTTTTTTTTGGAGAGGTTTTTGCTATAGGGTGCGTGCGCTCCCCAGATAGAGACATAGAGACAGAAAGCGAGAAATCACCCCCCAGAGGGGATGGTCACACTGCAATCCCCTCTCCTCCATTCTCCTCTCGGGATCTTGGGCACGCACGCACACGTGCCTGGTGTGAGTTTTAAGCCACCGGGTCCGGGACGCGAACTGCAGTCGACCATGTGGGAGTCCAGCGACATAGCCATTACGCTAACTGCTGGTTCCCTCTATAATTTACTTTTACACACCCCCCAGAGGGGATGGCCATGCCGCAATCCCTTCTCCTCCATTCTCCTCTCAGGATCTTGGGCACGCACGCACACGCGCCTGGCGTGTTTTAAGCAACCGGATCCGGGATGCAAACCACGGTTGACTACGTGGGAGTCCAGCAACATAGCCATTACGCTAACTGCTGGTTCCCAGTTTATAAATTTCTTATACCAATTCACTATGGCCTTTTACTCTGAAATGAGCAGAGTTAATTTGTATATTAAAATAATTCTCTAATATAAAGCAATGTGACTATTTTTGTTTCAAATGTAATAAAGAAAACCACAGCCTTCAATGTTTTTGGAAGACAACAATAAATTCTTATAAAATATGCCATTTTTCAAATTAAATTATGAAAGACTTTTTGCAACAAGTCTACTTAATATCAATGTCACTTTATTAGAAAATTCAATTATGATAGTAAAAATATTAAATCTTTCTCAAGGCTGGCAGGTGGTATGGTGGTTAAGGTGCTGGATTCCCACATGGCTGTGTGGACAGAAGTCTGACTACTTTTCCTATTTTTCCGAAATCTTTTCAAAAGGGACTGGGGAAGTCATGTCCACAAACATTAATAGACCATTTATTCTCCATTACCAGGATTCTTCCTACAGCCTGTCCCTGGCATAGTATCTCTGAGATGTATATTCCAACCGATTACATATATTCTTTTGCTTCTCTCTTCCTAAGACACAGAACTTCCCTTTCCTTGAGATGTAGATTAAGCCTTTCTTTAATCTCTTCCCAAGACACAGATCTTCCCTTCCAATCACCACCTATAACCTACCTGCCGTCCCCCCTTCCACATGTCCCGCCTTTTTGGGCCAGACCAATGGAAAATCTCTTCACTAATTTTGTCTGTCAACCTCAAAAACAAATAAAATGAACCCCTGTACACAATCACCCTGAGAAAGGCATGTATGCCTCTCCTCCGGGCCTAGGTCACTCTTATTTGGCTTGGATATAAACCACATTATTATTAATTTTTACAGTTGGTTATTTTTCCATCGACAGCTGGCTGCAGTTCTGAGTCCCAGACCTGGCAGCCTGCTTTCTCACATTCCTTCTCTCTGTCTCTCACTGGTCAAATTAAAAAATAATACAACTTTTTAAAAGAATTACTTTATTTAACTTTATTTATTTATTTGCTTATTTTGAGAGGGACTGAGTGAGAGAGAAAGAGGGTAAGTGAGAAAACAAGCCACAAGGTCTAGGATTCAAACCACGATTGGCCATGTGGGAGTTCAGTACCCTTAACTACCATGCCACTTGCCAGCCCAAATAAAAAAAAATTCTTAAAAAAAAACCCAGAGGCTAGCAGGTGGCATGGTGGTTAAAAGCACTGGACTACCACATGGCTCGCTGTGGTTTAAGTCTCAGACTTGGCAGCTTGCTTTCTCACTTTCTTTTTTTTGTTTCTTTCTTTTTTTTGAGAGGTTTTTGCTAGGGCGTGTGCTCTCGCCAGAGAGAGAGAAAGTGAGAAATCACTCCCCAAGGGGGATGGCCACGCCACAATCCCTTCTCCTTCATTCTCCTCTCTGGATCTTGGGCACGCACGCACACGCACCCAGTGTGAGTTTAAGCCACGGGACTTGAACTGCGGTAGACTACATGGGAGTTCAGCGACATAGTCATTACACTAGCTGCTGGTTCCTAAACTGCTACTCTTTTAGCGCTAAGAAACAAATTCATATCCTACAAAAAACAATAGCTTGTATAACCAATATGGCACATGTAAAATGGGTTTATCTCTTAAGGAGATACAAGGATTATTTGTAAACCAGAATTCATAATACAAGATATAACTGCAGATAAACAGTTCTTTAGCAGGGCCAGTCAGTGGTGTGGTGGTTAGGGCAGCTGGATCCCACATGGCCGACTGTAGATTTCGGGTCTCTGTCCGGTGGATTGAGAAACACGCCCAGCATGTGTACATGCATGCTCAAAATCTCAAGAAGAGAATGGAGAAGGGACTGTGGCAGGGCTATCCCTCCTGGGAGGTGCTTTCTTACTTTCTCCTGTTTGCTTTCTTTATGAGCACACGCATCCTATTGCAAATTAAAAAAAAAAAAAAAAGATTTCTCAACCGAAACAAAACAACCAAGAAAATGCCCTAAAACTTCAATACAGAAATTAACAGGGATGATGAGTATGCTAATTTATACTGATTAAGTCATAAGACATTGTATTCTCTTGATTTTTTTTTTCTTTCTCCTACAGGGCATATGCACTGCGGAAGAGAGAAAAGAGAGGGAAAGTGAGAAAGCATCCTCCCAGGGGAAACAACAGTGGCACAATCCCTCCTCCTCTAAGGATTTTGGGCACATTGCTGGGTCCAAGACTTGAACCACACAGTCGGCCATGTGGGATTCGGCAGCCTTAACCACCATACCACCTGGCAAGCCTCACACTGTATTCTTGTACAGAAAAATTACACTGGACTCCCACTGATATGCACAATTATTGTATGTTAATAAAAAATATTATTAAATATAGGAGAAAAGACAGGTTCTTTTTAGTCTGTTCTTTAATACTTTTCATTATGTTTTAAAGTTTTCATTTAGAAAAAAGACAATAGATTCTACAACCAATATGGCCCATGTAAAATGGGTTTACCTCTTAAAAACCAAACTCTTCTTATAAATATTTATTCTCAATTTATATAAAAAGAAATTACAAGAATTTAGGAACTTTCTTTACCTGCAACTTTTGATACATCTCTATGTTAATTGCTTTAACTTCCTCCAGTTGTTGTCGAAGGCCTATCAGAGTATCTTGTTTCTCGTGGATATCTTTCTCCAACAATTTCATGGCAAGTTCGATCTCATGTTTCATACTAACTTGTACTGCTAGTTCGTTCTCCGTATCCTGCAATTTCAACATTTCCTCAATTCACACGACTTGGGGTGTCAAAATCATATACAGATCAGTTAATGAGACTAAGAAAGAGTTTCTATTCTGTATGCGGACTGCTCCATGTAAGTCCACTAAAGGGAATCAACCAGGCCCTATAAGAACATAATATTTTAAATGCATTTTTTTGAGAAAATAAACATATTTTTCTATATCCTGCTTATTACTACTGTTGTGGTTCAAATAATTAAATCTTTTTATACCTCACAAATTCAGTATTAATTTTCCTTAAATAAAAGGAAATGAAGCAAAAAAAACAATAATAAAGATAAAAATAAAAAAAAGGAAATAAAGCAATTTGTACAAGGCCAAAAATAAATCAAAACTGTTTTAATGTTTTCCATAAAATTTTTTTTATTGTAAGAAGTTTCCTAACACTAAAGACAAGAAAATAGAAAGGCTGGCAATAAATATTCTCTTTTTGACCTGGGTGGTAGATACACATGTATTTGTATTATAACTCATTCAACTATACATTCATATTTTTCTTAGGTATTATATTTCACAATTTCTAAAATTAAAAAAGTTCATATTAAATATCACTTTATTAGTAACTGATTATATCATTCTGTTCTCTTCTATTTTTTTTTTTTATAATGATGGTCATAATCCATTCATTTCACAATCATAGGCTATAGCTCTCAGTTTAAAAAAATACAGCTACATGGGGCAGGTCCCATTATGGTTCAATACTAAAGGGTTAAGGGAGCTGGATTCCACATGGCCAACCACATGGTTTGAGTTCCAGACCTAACACTTTGAAAAAAATGCCTTTCTTTGACCATGCCCCATTGGGATCTGCTTTCTCCCTTTCCCTCCTTCCCTGTCTCTAGTAAGCACACACATTCTCTAAAAAAAAAAAAAGAAAGAAAGGGAGAAAGGAAGGAAGGAAAGAAGGAAGTAAGGAAGGAAAGAAATACTGATATAATGGAAGCTTCCAGAATTTGAGGGCTGGGCCAGCTCCATAGCCTAGAGGTTAAGATGAGCTGGATCCCACATGGCAGACCTCAGTTCTAATTCTGGCCCCAGAGGCTTAGAAAACACACTATGTGTATGTGTGTGCATGCCCCACATCCTGACAGCTTGGAGAAATGGAAACAGATTTACAGTGTGACCCTGCACCATTGTGGGGTGCTTTCTCTCTCTCCATTTCTCTTTCTCTGCCTCTCTCTAAAAAGGGTGTGGGCTCTCCAACAATTACCAAAAAAAATAAATTTGAGGGCCTAATTATGGAGGCATAGGTGAAAGGGCACCATTGCACTACACAGGAGCAACATGGGGAGCCCAGGTATGGATCTTGGTGCAGCCTGAACACACTAGGTACACCTGTGCCTACCTGTGATCCTAGAGGGCTGGAAAGCATGAGGAGGGCTGTATGGAGTGCCCATGTTCTGTAGTAAATTTTTAAAAATAATAATGAGGGGGTCCAGCAAGTGGCATGGTGGTTAAGGGCACTGGACTCCCACATGGCCAACCGCGGTTCAAGTCCTGAACCTGGCAGCTTGTTTTCTCACTTACTTTCTCTCTCTCTCCCTCCCTCCCTCC